CATTGATAAAATATAATAAGAACAAATGGTGTTATTAATTTAAGGAAAGTTTCTTTTGTATTCAAGAAAGGGTTTCTGACATGACTTGAACTCGATGTAACTTTGTGATTGGGATGCCTGCCTTCCAATCTCTGGTCTAATAAATTTCAACACAGGAATTTTTCTCATGACAAATTATCTTCAAAGGCAAAGTAATTTATTTATCATTCAAAGGAAATTACTGTACATTGCTTTTATACAATGTAAAACATTAAAAAGATTTAAAATGGAAAAAAAGGTTACAAAAAACAAATTGGTTTAATCCAGAGTACATTCATTTAAAATATTTAAGATGGCCCTGAATATTAGCCATCCTTCTAGGATAAGCTGGAAAGTTTTTTAACATGGCAATGTTTTTTTTTTTCATTTTTACTCCGGCTGATCGGACAAGTTTTTAGTTAAAGAACACAAAATAAGTGACTTCTAAAAATTTCACATCCATTCATAAGTTTACAATGTAAATACATTCACAATTTCACTTGTCTATAAAGTAAGTTTTTTAGATAGAAAAAAATTTATGCATTAAGGATACACTGTCTTTCAAGCTAAAAATTGGAAAATTAAATTTCAAATATATTTGAATTGCTTAATCTGTATATAAACATAAGTTCTTAACTTACAATTTAAACTCAGAATGTGAAAAAAATGTCGTCGTCAACAACCAATTGATTTGATCCTTCTATATGAGCTATTCAATATTTGTTTCAATTTTTTAGGTAGACTTTTCTTTTCTTTTTTTTTTGCACACAGTGAACTTTAAATGTAAAAATCCAGATGTATAATAAAATTACATGGCATGTGTATAATATAATCGATTAAGTCTACATTACAATAACTTTATATTTCAGCATGATAAACTTTACAACCAAATGGTGTCTTTTACAAAATATTTTGATAAAATGTATAAATGACAAAAGAGCACACAACAACATTTCAAAAAGACTATCAGTACACCCTACCACTTACTTACAAATGTTCTTACATTTACCAAATGTCTTCTTTTCATCTAAAGTCTTTTTTCAGTTTATTACACAAAATGCACCTCTATCATAATCACTTCTTAAGTTCTCTGTTTGGTGAAAGTATACATAATTTAGAGGGTTCCTCTGTGAACATCTAAATTCTTATTGAAAAACTACTAAACCTATAATATGAATACACACAACTTTGAAACAACCATGATTTGAAAAATGTCTAAAGTTTCATTTTTTTAATCTAAGTAAATGTCAAGCTTTGATACTCGAAAAACCAACAATCGCTTCTTAAATTGTACGGTTGGTGAAGGTAAACATACTTTCAAGAGTCTAAATTCCTTGGTAAATATCTACATTCTTCTTGAAAACTACTTAAAATCTACCCTATCAATATTCAGGGGCGGTACTAATGGGTGGCTTAAGGAAGGAATGACCCTCAATGGGGACCTCTGGTTCCTTGCTTTGACCCCTTTGTCGGGAAATTTCCAGCAATGTCGTTGGCAAAAACCAAATCTTGAGTGCCAAAAGCACAATTAAAGCATGCCTTACTAAGCTGACAACTTTTTTAGGGCTTGAAAATTGTTTAGTGTAAACAGTGCAACCGTACGTGCAAGGTATTGTATACTATTGCCATTGTATGTATTGCTGTGGTGGTGTCAGCTCTTCCTCGACAGTGGGCTCATACATGTGACAGGGTAAAGATTCTCACAATTAAAACAAAATGTTTTTATTTTTAATTTAACAAATTCGCGAAAATAACTTTTTCCCCAATTGGGGTTAGAGGGGATGGGGTTCCCCTCGACAGAGAATTCCTGGTGCCACCCCTGTATATAATGTGAATATGCAGAACTTTAAAGTGACCCATGATCAAAAATATCTAAAATTTGATTTCTCTAGTACATGTTGATTTTTCAAAAACCTATATTTTCACTGATATTGTACAATTAGATTTATCCCTTTAAAATATTAAGCTTAATAGCAAGTGTAGCTGATACAACGGTACATATTACGATACAAAATTAAATAAACACATGATAAGTTTTAAGTAATTTAAACCTACAATCAGCAAACCATGGATCAACACCCAAGTTGGGTTGTCATATAAATCTATAAAAAACGATTTAATAAGGGTTGCAATGTTATGTGAAAACATCAAACCAAAACTTTTTAGAAAGCGTTTATTTTATTTCTTCAAATTTGAGTTAATTTCTTTTGATCTGAGTTATTATTAATAGGCTTAATGACACTTCCCTGTGGACCGGTGGTGTACCCCGAATAGGCATTGTCATTGCCAATCAATCTCAGCACTCGGGTAATTAATACATTGCCGCACAGGGTTTTCTCCAACATGTGACTGAATATCCCAATGCCTTTTAATGCTCTTCATTTGCATCACTTGCTCAAAAATGTATTTCCTGGGCAAGTCTAGTAGTATTATTAATTTAATGATTTCATAGTGTCTTGTGGAAAATTTGATGTATTCGAAAAACCTCAGCAAATTTCTGGCAGAAGAACCAGAGTTTATCAAAATTATAGACAATCATAATCAAATTGCAGGGTCCTTGATGGCATTCCCCACAACGAACTGTACGAGACAGATTTGGTTTTTGAGTCTTAAAAGTGTGGGGTAAATAGAACTCTTGTGTCATGGGAAGTTATGGCAATTTACTTTGGTTTGTAAGGGATTATGTTTGCTGACCGTAGATTTAAACAATACTACGTATATTTGGTAAACTTAAATCATGTCATTGCAGGCTACATTTGACAGCTGGTATTCAAGCACCAATTAGTAAATTTGTGATTGTACATGGATGCCTTATACAGACTCATGACAGGTTATCCCTGGTCACCAAAGTCTAGCACTCTTAAACCAGACAAGTTAAAGATCACATATTGCTTGGGCCCAAACTTTTTACATATCATGTGAGTAGAAAAAAATATAACAAATATACATGTGTTCATATTTTACAGCAGACATTTAAATACAAAGTAGAATTATGCATTTAGTTGATGAATCTTAGTGCCTTATATTTGTCAATGTCAGTTAAAGAAGCACCTGCAGCATGCAACATAGATCTCACTTTCTTCCATTCAATTTCAAATTCTTTAGTTGACATTCTACTGTCAGGAGAATGTGCCAGCTTTGTGTTCCTGTAGTCGTGGATGTGCACCAAGTTAACCAGTCTATCTGGATTTTCCCAAAATGACTCTGGAATGCCATTGGAGCAGTTTCGAATGATTAAGTACATGATGGAGATATCAAATGTATCAATGTCAGCAGATGCTGTGAACATTTTTGACTTCTGCACTTTACTGATATTTTTCATTACTTTATTAAAGCTACCCTTTCTCTTCTCGGAGAGTAGATAATTCCCAACATCGTTTTTGTTAATTTTGTTAACCTCCAATATGTAATTTCTCATGGTTGCAGTTCCAACATCAACGACAGCCGATAACACAGCCTGGAAATTCTTGATTTCTTCAATGACAGTGTGCCCAATACCTATTTCTGGTCAATAACGAAATGGAAAAATTAAAATAATTTGGAAGAGTAAGTTTATTAAATTTCAATTTGTCCCATTTATAATTATGCCTTTAATACACAGCTTTCATTTAGATTTTATTGCATATCATCAACAGTAATCAACATCAGCAGCAAAATCAATACTAGAAGAATCAGTATTAGCAGCATCACACTCAGAATCACTGTCATCAGTAGCAGCGACATTAGTTGAGTTTTTAGTGGATTTAAGTGTAGTACTAGATCATCATAGTGTCATGGGTATAACGTTATAAACTGCGTCTGGTCTTTTGGCGTTGTGGAGAAAAATCACAAATTATTAGGAAAAAAATATTATGTATTTTCTACATATTAATAGACTCTAAAATTGATTAAATAAGCCTTTAAAACCTCTAATAATAGTCATATTTTTGCCCTTGGACCGTTTTTGAAAGATTTTAGCAATACCAACTTTGTTCTCATCAGGGACTTTGGACCCCCGATCTGGGAAATTCTGGCGCCTAAACTGGCTTAATCACAAGCACATAGAGGCTTGTTTGCATGATAGGCTTTACAAATCTAACTATTATTAATACATCTACAAAATCAGTATCAGTAGATCCAACAACAGCAGCAGAATCAGCATCAGCAATAGAATCAGAATCGGCTGAAGTAGACTCAGTATCAGCAGCAGCATCTTCATCAGAAATATCAGCAGCAGAATCAGCTTGAGTAGCAGTAGACTCAGCATCAACAGCAAAATCAGCATTAACAGCAGCAGCAGCTATTATTATTAAGACTAGTTACTTACCTTCCAAGGCTCCATCCTTGTAATGAGATGGGTCGCGGTAATTCTCAATGTCTTCAACAGGAACTCCAACACCTGTAAAAATTGCTGCGAGTTCCTTCCATTGCTTATCAAACACCTCCTTTGTGACACTGTTGCTGTAACTGCAGTCTAGAACAGTTTTCTTATATTGATAGATGCGGACAAGATTTGCCAGCTCAGAATTGTCATCAACCGGAGGGTTCTCCCAGAAGTCTTCTGTATTAGTGTTGTGACAACACCAGCGAATTAACTTTATCATGATGTCCATATGGAATGCATCAATATTGCTGGTTGATGAAAACACTGTTGTTGAATCATCTCCAAAATCAACATCCTTTAGTAATGCACACCTCTCCTTTGCCAAAAATGGTTTAACTTCTGGTTTGGTAAGGTTAGTTTTGTCTAGAAAGTACCTCCGTAGTTCTTTGGTTCCACGACCAATAATCAATGTCTGAAGTGCCAGAAAATTCAAGGTTCCTTGTGTAGAGCTATCATCAAAACCTGTAGAGCAAAATCATAACATTTTCGGCTTTTAAAATTAATAATTTTCATATTTACTTACATATATAATGACACTCCTCGTCTAGCATTATGACCTCCGAGATGTCTTTTCCACCGCAATAAAAGATAGAATTGAATACATCAAGGGTGGAGTCAAAGGGTTTTTGGCGTGTGTGGAAAGCACAAATAAAAAAGACTTATGATCCAAGAGGGAGGGTTATGTTAGAGTGTTCCCCAAATTATAATTTGAATATTCGGTTGTTACCGCATCCATCCCTGATACATACAGTTGTAATCACATTAATTTTAATTAATGAAACCTGTAGCTTTGTATATAATTCTGACTTACTTTATAAATGAAATATTATTTATTTATTTTAAATTTTAAATGTTTCCTTTATTCAACAGAACATCAATCATTATCTTAGCGACCGTTCTGTGTCCAATATAAAATATAAACCATTTTCATAAACATATTCTTATACAAACCTGTTGAAAAAAGTCGTCTGATACGAGTCGTTGCAACTGACTTTCTTTTTCCACATGGCACACTTTCTTTTTTCAAACATTCCTCAAGTTTATGCAGCGGTCGCAGCGTAGCATCACAGGCATTACAAAGGATGCGTAATTCATAGCCAACTCCTTCTGTAGTAACATACACAGTTTTCAATTGCTGACGGAGGTAACTTAATACCTGATAAAAATCAAATAAAATTATGCTGAACATTTTTTATGGTTGCATACGCAAGGTGTACAATGTCAATTTTGTAGGTGTTTCAGGAATGCAACCAAGACCCCTAAATGGTGATCAGTCAATTCATTTTCAGATCGTCAAAATAAAGGAAAATAGTAAAATTAGTCCAGAGTATTTTTTCACAGCGAACAAGACTAAATTTGATTATAAAGACATTGGATGCCCTACAACACTGAAGCTATAACCCAAATAGCTGTTCCATTTGACCATATCAGGGACTATAAGCAACTCTCCTACCCCATTTGGTTGATTTTTGCACATCCACGAACACTCCCCACGGCAATCCACAGAAAATTTTGATTCCTCAGACATTAAGTAACCCCTTCACTTAAAACTAGTGATTTTCAAAACTTGTAGAAAAGATGTTTTGAGCATTTGGTAAAAATTGGGAATCTGTCTCGAAGCATTAGCAAGCATGACAAATAAGATTTTAAAAAAGTAATACTAAAGTGAATTATAATAAAGTTGTTCATTATCTCTTTAAGTTCTAATTAACTATCATCTGTATTTAGCGCATTGTGTGTTTGAACCCATCAGGTACTCACTTGTACTTTTTGGTGGAAAGAGACAACCACAGGAAAAGTACCTTGCCTAAAGACACAAGTGAAATGCACAACAGGGGTATGAACCTCTAAACCTCAAGGTTGAAATGCAGAACCACATCCGCTGCGCCAAACTACTCCTACAAAATGACTAAAATAAACAGAATTTGGTTACGGAAGCTTACCTCCATGCAGATGCTAGGATGTGGTTCGAGAAGTTCTTCTTTGCCATGTTCATCAACTTTTATCCTATGTGATATTTCAATCTGTTTATAAGACAACATACAGGATATTTTATTAGTCAATGGGTTGCTTTTGGAAAGAGGTTGTGGATGCACATAAAATAAATAAATATAAATACACAAATTTCTATCTAAAGCTAGGCACGCACTGCACTACAAATGCAACTTCGTTCCCTGTGAGCGCTGCAATGCGAAGCCGCCTGCTAATTGTTGGTGGACGGATCTTCATTAAAAGTGATCTGGTGCACACGGCTTGTGTCTGAAATCCACCGGGTGCACTGGTTGCCTAGCTTAAGAGTTGTTCCGGATGACATAGAGGTCTAAGCTGTAATTCAACTTACAATTTATTTGGCAATAAAATTACATTGAGCTGCCTGGTCTGACAATGTTTTTACTTGCACAAAAATAGCATAACATACCAAGCAATGTAGGCTTACAAATACCTGTATTATAACATTAAATATACAAATGTATACTCTATATATAAATGTAAATGTAACTGTTTATATATTAAACATAGATAACTTATATATTAATTATGTTATTTACAACATAATTTTACACAGACAGTTTTATTACATTAAAATAATAATTATGCTTAACCTTTAACATCGCATCTTACCTTCAGTGCATGCCTGTTCTTGATTTTGACAGCTCCTAGACTCACCACATGCTCATCATCTAAGTCAAAGTCACTACGATTCCGAAACAATTCCACATGATCACTACTCCTACCTTTGTCATTCATCAAGTCTAAAAATGAAACCACCAGCAGATTGTAGACAGCATCTGGTAGGAAGTCTGTAGGAATCACATAAATCGACACCGTTTGCTGCTCATCTTCCTTAACTTCCAAGCCCTCTTTATTGATTTGCATCCGAGTGGGAACCATGAACATTCGGTTACCAGGTTGAGATCCCTTTGAAAACATGAGCATTGATGTAGCATATTATGAATCTCAAAAAGATCTGAAAATTACAGGTAACAGAAGGAACCACTAAACAGAAGCAGAGGAATATCGGTGCAGCAGTAAAGCTTTGGAAAGAGAGTTTGTCTGGTCAAATTGCTTGTGTCCTTGGCAAGACACTTTATTTACATTTGAATCTTTTCACCTGGGAATATGAACAGGTAGGCCTACCTGGTATGAGGTGAGTGATTTGGAATATAATTGGTAGTGCAGAATCACATGTATAACTATACAAAATACTCCCCAGGCAGAGAAGTATCAGGTGACACTTTGTGCATAATTTTGGAGTGGAGTTGAATAGCTCAGTTGCTATGATGCTTGCCTTATGATCCCAGGGTCCTGGATTCAATTCCCGTCACGGCAGAACTTTTTCTCACGAACAAACTAACTGCCTAAGCCTTAAAGAGACTAAAAGCATCATCCTCATCCTGTAAGTGGCGAAATTTACTCGCTGTTGGATGTGAAATAAGAAATAAAAAAATAAAATAAAATAATAATTTATACTGCATCCAATAAAAAAAAGCTACTTCAGTGGATTTTTCTGAAATGAATATGTGCGCTACTCGGTACAAGTCCTATAAAATAATGATTTGTCTCTCCTACACTCTTCATTTTTTCCCGTTCCTTGTCACACATCCCGTTTCGCTTCTTCTTTTTCTTCCACACTCCTTGAGGCTTGCCTATTCTCTCTCTCTTGACCCGTCTTCGATTTCCCAGTTCTCATCAAAAAGTTTTCAACAACCGACAATTTCATCTGTCTATTCGCCTTCTCCTTTTAACCTTGCCCACAAATTGTTGGAAATATATTCATATTTATACTGTATATATTTCGTAATTTTTTGGTGTGTGTATCTGTGAATGTTATCCTTAGTGGATTTTGTCCCTTGATGGCATTTGAAGAATAAAATTGAATTGAAAGTATAAAAATAATAATTATTGTACAAAAGTGTGCACACATATATATTATGAAAGAGTTTCTTGTGCTAAACCATAAGTAACAGCTTACCTTTTGTTTTTCAAACAGTAACCCAAACATCTTAAGCAGTTCAAGGAATACCTCAAAGTTGCTGGTATCATTCTCTATCTCACGTCTCCACAAATGACGTAGCAACTGTTCTTGTAGAATTCCCTCACTGTCGAGTTTATTCCATAAATGCATCAGTGTAGGCAACTACAAGAAAATATGAACAATAAGATGCATGTGACTCCTCATTAAGCAACATCAAAAGTAAAATTTATATGAGATTGTTATATTGCTTACCTTGTCAATATCATCTGGTTTCACTACTGTGATGATTTTTGTCAAGAGGTCGATCATCATGCGTAAGTTTGTAATAACCGTGTACTTTAACTTCTCATTAGTCTTAGAGTACAGAATTATTCCAGTGTCGTTTAGATAATCGAGGACAGTGTTGAGCGTTGTTTTAGAAATTCCACATTCAGATGCAATTTCTGCAACCTTAAATGTTGAATGAGAAGAGAATTCCATTCAGTAAACAAATGCATGCAAGAAATATATACAAAACACAAAAAGTACACAAGATAAACCAATGTGATGGTAACTTTGCAGTTACAATCATTAAATTTGATTTATATCGAAAAATTAAAACTATAAATTTTAATGGCTCATTTAAAGGAACCACTTAAAGTAATCAATTTTCATAAAATCACGGATCAGAAAGCAAGAGGAATAGAATTTATGTGATGGGTAGTGTTGGACTTTTGGATCTAATTTGCGTAATTTAAATCATATTCATCAAATAATATTTAGTTATAAATATTATAAGGAAGCATATTACCTCATCTAAGGAAACATGAAGTCTTGTTTTTCCAACATCTTTGGGTGATGATATGCCATTGATCAACTTCCGTGTCCTTCCACGATAGGGTAGTACAGCATGTTCGTATATTGACCGCATCCAAAATACATTCATCTGAAGATTTGTCATTTCAAATTGTCCCTAAAAATGTAAACAATAGTCACATATATTTCAAAATGCTATGAGGTTAATTGATGCAATAAAACTAATTAAGATTAAACATCTGCATTGAAGACTAAGTGGTGTATTTACTTGTAAGAAATCTCTTGGGTTTGCTAGAGCATCCAAATCATCTAACACACTAAACACAACACAGTAAGATGATCCATCTGTCAAGAAAAACTGGAAAGAAAAAATTTAAAACCTAAAAATATTTAAATCATCACTGTTAAAACTAACCACTGAAAATGATTTTATTACTGTTTTAAGTCACTTAACAAGTGATATTTAACTATATACAGGTACTCTGACAAGCATAAAATATTAATGGTTATTGTTTTATTTGAGTCATATAGAGCCCTGCTTCTCAACATATGGGTCGGGTCGCCAAAACATATTTGATGGTTTCCAAATTGCACCTGAGAAAAAAGGCAGACTTTCATAAAGCTTTCAAGAACTTAATTGTGTCAAATACTGTACTTCAACATACCAGTCCTACAAAGGACTCAATAATCAAGAGATAAACCCGATGTGCGCACGCTTTTACGTGGGGGTGGGTGCACACACAAGCTTCAGTCACTCATTAATAATCAGGCGGTCAACCTCGCTAAATTATATTGTTTTATTTAAACTTTAAACATTTCAAATAACGAGTGTCTCAAAAAATATTCCTACTATAAAATGGAACATTCTGTACATGACCAAACACAATATGCCTCATGAACTGTGCTTGGAAAAAATTGAACAATTATCACAGGCACATTGTTAGCCGCGGCTGACTAACAATACAGCAGCAGACTGCAAGTATCTTTAATACCAGAATAATTAGGAGAGAACTGTTATAGCATAGATATCAAATGATACTAGCATAGATTTAGTGGGTCACCCCCTGAAAAAGGTTGAGAAGCAGGGATATAGATGGTGAACTTCCAGTTACGGAATGAAATTTAGTTGATATTTAGGAGCTTTTTTTAAATAAATTCAATATTGTGATGATCAAACTAAATCTCATGTAGAGTTTGGACTTGTTTTAATTTGTGCAAAAAATAATGATGCCTGTAAAGGATTATAACCAAAAAGCCACGACCAACCCCCCTCCCCCTTCTTCCGTTTTTCCCCTAAATTTTAAAATTTCAATGCATATATTGAAATTAGTTCTACTCACTTATCTATTCTGATATATTGTGCCCCACCAACCTCCCTTCCCATTTGAACAATTTTGGATCCGCCCCTGATAGGAGTGGAACTAGGCAGGCATTTTTACCAAAGTACCACTACCTAGCTACTCACCAGAGTAACATCTCAAATCAAAAGAAAACATCCAATAATTTTGAAATGTAGCTTTCAGTAGAATTTATTACTCACCCTGTGAGATATATAATAGGTCAGTTGACCGGCATAGTCCCAAATGCTTGTGACATCACTTGGTATAAAACTCTCCTTGTGTTGTTGAATAGGATTTCTGCTAGGTACCTCTGCTGTTTGACGTGGTTGACCAAATATGGCTCTTCGAAGTAGCTGACCCAATCTGGATCTTTGATATGGCAGGTCAAATAGGGTAGGAGGATGGAAAGTGGCAGGTACAGCAAGTTTAGCAACAAGTTTCTCATGAATTCCTTCTGGGAGTTTCCTGGTATAGCTTGCACTTCTGGTTGCTTCTGATGGCTTCTGTATTAAACATTCAAAAATGACTAATATATATCAGTTCAAATTTATGCAGAAATTTAAACCAGTTCTTCAGGTAATGTTTTTCTTATTAGGCAGAGAGCTAAAAAAAATACATATTAAAAACATATTAAGAACATCAACTAAATTAATTAAAGTATTTTTTGCAATTACAATCAAACAAATTTACCGATGAAGAGGCTGTAGAACTAGATGATGCAGAATTAGTTGTGTTTTGTTGGCTTTTTGGCTGTTTGAGCTTTTTGGCAAGACTTTCTGCAATGGCATGCTCACGTATCTGCTTCGTTAGTTCACAAACTGTAAAATATAGAAAGGTTTTTTAAAAAAAATTGAATAATTTATAAAAATAAATTTTCAATTATTAAAATTATTTGTATTTTAAGAAAGTAAAATATTCATACAATCCGCATCCTTCTGTTCCTGCTATTTGCAAAAAAGAAGTTATCAAAATAACTTATACAAATAAAAATTTATAATATTTAAAGTTAAATTTTTAATTAAATTACTTATATTTCAAGAAAGTATAATATTCATACCATCCACATCCTTCTGTTCCT